GTTAAAGGGTTGTCACCATTGGGTTAATGAAGTATAGCATCTGACCAGGTGAGAAATTGGCAAGTTTGCTGAACCACTGATAGAGCAAAGTGAAGTGATACCAATGCAATGGATACTAAGTTAAAAATTTCCTTATCTCACAGGACACCTTCAGTCACAATTCAAACATGTGGTCTTCCAGGTCTTCAGTCTCTCCTGAAAATGGAGTCACAAGATTGGATCACTTAGAGACCCTGAGCCAACCTACTGGAGCACATCCTTTACCAAAATCTGCCTAACCAGGAAGGTTGATAGACAAGGAAACTGTGAATAAGTTGTGGACAATTTAACATTTAAATGGGTTTTGAATATAATTAAATTTCTCTTTATAAAAAAAATACACTTTTACATGTTAACATAGGCAGCCAATGGGTAACTCTTGGATAGAGTTGACTGCTGGGGTGATGTTGGGTGAATAGTCAGAGTTCACATTTTGGCTATCATTTGACCTGCGTCATTCCTTTAGCTTCACTTTTGCCATAAAAGTGTACACTTTTTATGGCAGATTTTTAACGTAACATTTGTATGAATATGCTGCAGGTTGTGAATAAGTTACCCACTCCATTCCTCCTTGTTCTTTTTTAATAAGATTCTTTTTGATAGCAGTTGAATCCCCACAAAATTACAAATGAATAAGTGGCTGGTTGGCTATCAGTTTATAGGGTCCTTTTGAATGAGATCTGACTTTTGTTGCTATGTCTTATACTCAATTTCATATTCAATGTAGTCTTTCTTTTCTACAAGCCTGCTTAATGTTTTCAAGAGATGTGACCTTCTTGTTTCTGCTGTTGACAATAAGCAAAACTATGTAGGATTATCCAGCTGATGTAACATAGCAAACAAGTCTTTCTTGCAATTTTCAAAGTAAGATAATCCTCCAAGATTTCTTGATACTCTAAACCCTTCATCTTGATGAATTAATTTAATTACATAATCATCTGAGTTTAGGTCACCTTCAATATATTTGTTGCCTTTTGTTTCTTATGCAGGCACAATTTGAATTTGTTTAGTTTGTAACTTTTTTTAATTTATAAAAGATGTTTGGTTATGCTACTTATATATTGTACTATAATGGAAAGGTGTCATTCTGTCCTTATTATCAGCTCGAGTTTTTCCACAATAAATAGTTGGAAATGATAGGAATTCATGCAAAAGTTATTATCTTGTTAACATTTTCAGTCATATCTGGTTCTTGTTATTGAGTATCTGTAGCAGTAATAGCTAGGTACACCATACAACTGATGGAACACAACTCTAAATAAACAATCACCAGCACCACCAACATCAAATATTCTCAAGCCATGTTGAACTAATCAAGATTGTAAAATTAATCAAGATGGTTTGGCTTATTGCCCAGAGTGACAGGTCCCGGGTTTAATTCGATTTCTCCTGAAGTAAGTAACTTTGCCCTTGAAACAAAATACTTGTGATTTCGTTTCTTACATTTTATTGAACAACATTGAACAACATGTACAAATTCATCTTGAAAAACAGCTGATATTTCACGTCTTTTTATGCTTTGCAGTACTTGTTTGAAAACATAAACACAATCAAAAGCAAAATACAACCTTGAACCTTATGCACGAGTTACTTCAACTGGTTAACTTCTATACAATCTGGTTTTAAGATAATTACGGTAGTCAAACGATAAAATCGTTTTCGATGCGAATGTGGTAACCTTAGCACAATACGAGACCTTACATACCTCCTAATTGTTTTACTCTTGTCAAATAAGTTTAGAATGTTCTTCCACAGTAATCTCGATGTTCCACTATCACGACAGACCTTTGCTAATACGATTGGACTTTGACCTACTTCTTCGTTCCTGTATGATTTCTGTTACCATCAGATCAGTCTTCTGACTGCGTTTCATTCTGCTTGGCCACAAGAATGTTTTGGTTGTATATTACGGACTGATCAGTTGTGAAATTCATGTTGCCTATGTCTTTGTTTAACCTAATGTTTGATTCGTACTTTTGCTAATATGTGTGCTCATAGGTTCCCTCGTGAGTACGATACAAGTTTCGCACATAAGATTCATTCGTAAAAGGTTCACTATTTATAAACCCCCTGTGAGCTTGGAGGATCGAAGAGTAAACGTCTCGAGGGGTCAAAGCCTCTTCGCATCCAGCGTCTCCACAGCTTACTACCACATGCTTACTGAGACGGGTATTAGTCGAAACTTCTCGAAGAAAAGACAAATTCTAATTCAACGTCGCGGCACTTCGGAAAGTCGACAGACGCGTCCCGGTATTATTCCGTTATTCCGGAAAGTCGATATCAATTGCTCTGCCGTTGACACATCGACTTGTTTACATCTGAGTGAGTGACAAATGGCATATTCTAACCCTATCAATAATCCTTTCTACGCTTCGCGTACCACGACCAAAATTAAAGTGTGTCGATGAATGAAAATTGCACATCTCTTTGTTTTGTAATTACTCAAAGGAAAATCTGTCTTTCTTGGGAGATTTATCACTTGTACTATCACAAATGGCGGTCGTTACCGAAGCGTTACATAGAATTTGTTAGTAGGTTCGTGACGGAAGTACTAGAATGTGATAGGTAATTTGGGTTGATTGATTGTGACACTGGAGTTACTAGTGGGTAGAAGAATAAAAATAAATCACTGAAAGAGCACTTCAGAGCAATTTGCAACGGAGAATCGAAAGCAATCCAGCTTGGACATGGTTTGATGCTACTCTAAGTTACAATTCATAGACCCAACGTTTCGACACACCTGTCTAGTGCCTTCATCAGGGGTGATCTAAAGTTTTGGCTACATACTTTTTATGGCAAATAAGGTGGTGAGAATCGAAAGCGAAGTATTTGTCGGTGTAGGTGGGTTTACGGTAGACACTTGTCTCTAAATTACCCTGGGCCCCTCTGGACACATTTAAGTCAAGAAAGGGCAAATGTCTATCCTTTTAACGCTCAAGGGTGAATTGGATCGACGGCTCTAGTGAATTCAAATGCGATAGGAGGCGCTTCGCTTCATTTCCGGATACAGCAGAAATAACATCATCGACATATCGTTTCCAGAAAAAGGGTTTAACCGGTGAAGTGGCTAAGGCCCTTTGTTCCACGTCTTCCATTACCATGTTGGCAATGACAGCAGAGACGGGCGAACCCATAGCTGTACCAAAAACTTGAATTGCTGATAGTAGGTGCCGTTATATGCAAATTTCGTGGTTTTGAGGCAAATAGACAGCAGATGAATAATATCCTCCACAGGCAAAGAAGTTCTTTGTCCTAGGGAAGCATCTTCTCTGAGTCTCTCCTCCGCAACCTTAACGGCAAGATCAACTGGGATTTTTAGTGAAGAACGAAACAACGTCGAAAGATACTAATTCTTAACAAGCGTTAAGAGTCTTGTCTCTTATGAAATCCGCAAATTCGCAGGATTTTTAACAGTGTAATCAGTGTAATCAGTGTAAACTTTGCAAAACTTTTCTCAGGAGGGCTGACTGTCTACCGTCTTCACTCGATTCGAAGGTTGAGGAGAGGAAATATGTTTCTAATGTCCTAAAG